TCTCTCTCTCTCTCTCTCTCTCTCTCTCTCTCTCTCTCTCTCTCACACACACACACACACACACACACGCACACACACACGCACGTCTTTCCCATTTGCGTCTCCTTTTTATGGTACCTATTTTTATAAAGCCTCCTCAAGTCGTTTATGAGATGAGGCAAAATATCCATAAATACAGGTTAAATGAGATCGTGGCATTGAATCTACCCCTCCCCTGTCAGCTCTGGAGAGTAGTGTTCCCAAAGACAGATCCTGCGTTTTCCTTTTAATGTATTTCTATTGACCTGACACTTGACCACAGAGAACCTCAGCAGATTCCAGGCTTTAGTATCACACAGGAGTAAAATTAGGTCATTCTTGGGGAACAGGCTTTAAAAGTAAAATTGCTCTGGTATCTCTGAATTACACTGAGTCTTTTGGAAAGATTGTTTTGTTTTCTACAAAGTTAAGTAAATAAGTAAAGCCCCACTGGAAAGCTCACAAGGCAGGCATCTCTGGTCCTGTACTGGCTGTTAGAAAGTTAGAGCTGAATAGGAGGTACGGGTAGAGACCAGAAACCCCAGCCATCCAGGCTCCCTCTCCGGTGGGGTGGACCCGTGGGATGTCTTGCTATGCCTTGGATCTGAGCCGAATGTCTTTTCTCTCCCCAGCAGACCCGCCTGTGGCCGCAGCTGTGGTGTCCCATTTTAATGACTGCCCTGCTTCCCACAGTCAGTTCTGCTTCCATGGAACCTGCCGGTTTTTGGTGCAGGAGGACAAGCCAGCATGTGTGTAAGTGTACCCTGGGGTTCTGGGGTGCTGGGGCTGCAGACGTGCCAGCAGCCCATTAAAAGAGCACTTCCCTCCAGAAGCCATGCCAGAGGCCCCTGAGAGCCTTGGAGCCGACTTGTTAGAGAATCAGAACAGCGGGCTAAGGGACACCTGCTTCAAACCCAGTTGGTTAAAAATCCAGGTTCCAGAGCCCTGGCCCAGAGCCACTGAGGCAGAACTCCTAGAGTTTAGAGCCTGGGGATCTGCATTTTTAACAAGCACCTCAGGTGACTCCTGGGTTGAACAAAGTCTGAAAATTCCTGGATTCACGTTTTTTTTCTTTTTTTGTTTAAATTAAAGTATAGCTGATTTACAATGTTGTGCTAGTTTCAGGTGTACAGCAAAGCGATTCAGTTATTCCTATATGTTTTTTTATATAAAGAATATATTCTTTTTCAGATTCTTTTACATTATAAGTTATTACCAGATAGTGAATATAGTTCCCTGTGCTCTACAGTAGGACCTTGTTGTTTATTTTTTATATAGTAGTGCATATCTGTTAATCCCAAACTCCTAATTTTGGTTCAAGTTTAATTCACTACTTAGAATTTCTGGAGGGCAAGGCACTTGTTTGGATCCCTTTGAATAGCTGGAGTCTCTTAAGATGAGGTCTCTGCCCTCATCCAGCTAATAAAATAAGCCAGAAGTGCACACTGATGGTTGGTGTACATGAGTGGTAACAGAGCAAAGCAACTTGGAAATAAATATGCAGGCCAGGGCGTGGCATTTGCCACTGCAGGCTGAGCATGAGCCCCGGGGAGCTGCTTCTGAAAACATAGCTGAGCCCCACCCCAATCCCCTGAATCAGAATCTCCAGGAATGGGATCCAGGAGTCACATTAGTTAGGAGCCACCAGTGATTGCCACGGTCAGCCCGAATGGGCAAGAAAGGCCCATAAAGAAAGCATCCCGGAGCAGGTGTCGGGGTTTGGCTGGTGGGGAGAGCAGAGAGGTTGCTCCAGGCCTGGAGTGTTGGGGGACCTGCCGTTACAGTCAGTGAGGCCACAGTAGGGAGGAGACAAGATTGGAGATGAATTGGAAGCCAGAGCCTGTTGGAAGTGAGCCTTTATTCTCTAGGCAGTGGGAGCCGTGCCAGTCATGGGAAGGGGTATTTTAGGGAAGTAAATCTGTGCATGGTGGAGTACTGTTAGGTGGCCCTATAGTCAGCTTTGGCACTGTTGACTTTTGGGGCTGGGTAACCCCTTGCTGTGGGAACTCACCTGTGTACTGAAGGGTGTTAGCAACCCTGGCCTCTACCCACTAGGTGCCAGTAGCACCACCTCCCCCCAACAGTTGTGACAATCAAAACTGTCTCCAGACATTGCCAGATGTCCCCCAGGATGTGGGGGGGGGGGGTTTGGGGGCACAGGAAGAATTTCCCTCCACCCCCAGTAAGAACCACCCATATCTGTGAAGTTGCCATTTTTATAGGTCAAAAACGGTTAAAAGTCAGCAATTTTGTATGATCCAAACTAGTAATACCAGTAAATAATACTAAATGTTAATAAAAGCCAGCATTTATTGAGCTTTGCTTCATGCCAGGCATCATTCTAAGCATGATCCATGTGTTAATTCATGTAATCCTCAGAATGATCCCGTGAGGTGGGCACAGATCACATAGCAGAGCATACATTCAGACCCAGCCTGTCTGGCTCCTAAAACTGCATTCTTAACCATGATGCTTAAGGGTATCGGCTGAGTAGCCCAGGAGAGACTGGGGACCGGGAAAACCTGCCACAGTAAGTGGTGGTGGGTAGGGCTTTCCTCTTCCTGAGGTGCAGCTGTGTGAGCCTGGGCAGGCCCCTCGGGGTGCCTCTGAAGCCTGGAGAGGCACACTGGCCACCTTCCGCCTGGGAGGCCTGGGTGAGGCCACCAGGCCACATCTGCAGAGCCAAGAGCCCTTCCCACCCCTAAATACAAAGCACGATGATGACAATAGTCGTCGTCATTCATGATGATCATTCTTATTAAAATATACATAGGAGCCTCTGGGAGGCTGATGGGATTATTTTTGATCGTAGCCTGGTCATTATGGAAAAACGGTGGCCCTGAAGGAAGGGTGGCTTCTTGGCCTAGATCTCAGGAAGCCTACCAGTGCAGCAGGCGGAAGGCCCTCTCCCCTCCAGCAGTGCCCGGTGCCGGGACCTCAGGCTGCCCCGGGCGGTGCAATGGGAGAGAGAGAGAGAGGGGACTTGTGATCAAAAGTGTGTCAGAAGTTCAGTTTTTCCACCAGATCAGGGACTGTTGTAAACTCTGAGAGCTGGCAGCCTTGAGCTTGGGTCAGCAGGTAACCTTACTTGTGGCTGAGCCCCCTTCGGCTGGCGGAAGTCTTCTGAGAGCAGGGGGTGGTGGCTCCCTTGTTCTGTTCAGTCCAGATCCCAAGCCCCGCTCGTGGCTCAGGGAGCTCACCGTCCATCACACTTTAACACCATTACGTGCTGGTGGTCAGGAAGACCGGCTGTCTCTCTCCCCACTCACCCTATAACTATTACTGTTAATAATAGTAGTAAGCTCTCTGTAAAAGCTGTAACTGTGTGCCGGGCCGGCTCCCAGCACTCCACATACAATGACTCATGGAGTCCTCCCATTCTCCCAGCTTCCCTCTCAAGTAGAGATTCTTGCCCTTATTGTATGAATAAGAAAACTGAGGCTCAGAGAAGTTAGGCAACTTGCCCGGAGCCCCAGAGCCCATAAATGGTGGAGCTGGGGTTCAGTCCCATCAATTCCAACCCCGAAACCCATGTTCTCAGCTGTTGCCCCCGAGGGCACTCTGTCTCAGCCTCACAGAGTTCCCCTCAAATAGCTCTTATTTCCAGGAAAGGTGTTGGCACCGTCCCCCTGCAGGTAAACCTTCCTCCAGGGGAAGGTCAGGGTCATTCCTACACTCGTTACCCTCAGCAGACTCTCAATGAATCCTTCCTGTGGGCCGAGGGTAGGGTCTACAGAATCAGCGGAGACCCTTCTGCAGTGTGGGAAAACTGACCGTCTGTGGGGAGGCATGGCCACGTGAGCTTTTACCGCCTCTTTACCTCAGTTTCCCCGCTGGATCTTGGCGGCCCAGGGGTGGTATTCAGCCCACAGACGTGTTTCTACCGCGGTAGATGAGTCTGCCTCGTGCTTTGGTGGTTGTAATTAGCTGTCCACATTTTGGAAGTCAGGTTTTACATCTCCAGGCAGACGCCCAGCTTCTCCCTGCCCCCCCGCCCAGTTCCCCAGTTTCCACCTCTTCCTGCTGGTCCCCAACACTGAAGCCAAAGTCGGTCCCCAATCATTCCTGTTGCCCGCTCTGTTCTGCTCACGCCAGCCTGCTTTGCTCACTTCTGCCGCCACATGAGCTTGTAAGCTCAGTGAGGGCAGGACCACACCTTATTACCTTTTTGTATTTACAGTACGTAGAAGAATGTTCTAATTCATTAATTCCCACCAGACCAAAAACAGTGAGTCAACGCAGAGAAAGCAAAACATGCCGTTCCCACTCTTAGAACTACCCCAGCTTTAGGGAGCTGACACACTCATCCTTGTCAATAAAACTGACATACCTTGAAGTTAAGGCCGTATCAGTCACGGCCTTACAGGAAAACCCACAGGGGCCCAAGATTATAGTCCGAAAAGAGGGAGCTCTTTCTAAAATACTGTCATTCTTAAGCTTTGTTTTCCATAAGAACAATAGTCCTTAGGTTTTCAGAGAACTAAAATGACATCTCACACTAAAATATGAGATAAGGAAAAAAAGTTAAAACAAATAACTAGTCAGAAATCACCAAAGGTAGTAAACATTATCCTGAAACATTTATGCTTCAGATGAACCCTAGATTGTATCTTTGGTCTCCCTTTAATAAATCCCTGCCAGGAGCCAACCACTTCACAAAACAAATAGGGAAATAATTTCCAAAGGTAGTAAGTAAAACCATAGAAATGCAAGGTGAGGACTCAAACACCGTCTTTTTCCCTGAGGCAGATTCTGCAAACCGTTGGTCTGCTGCCTGCAGAAACCTTCAAACAAAGGAAAACAGTTGAAGGAAGCCACCCGGGTGACAGGATTTCAGGGTTCCAGTGTTTGCAGCCAGTGACAACTCATCGAAGTGTCTCACCTATCCAAAAAATGCCCCTCGGTGACTGAACTCCCTGACTTTCCCACAGCAAAGTGTGAAAGCACATTGCTGTCAGCCAAGGAAAACATTCCACCTGGCTCTGGCCACAGTACATTCCAGTGGGATCTGAACAGAGTCAAACACCCAGAGAGGGGTGACCGCCTTCAGTGCGCAAGCAGACTGCCTGTGTGACCAAGAACACGCCTCCCGAGGCATCAGGATTGGGAGTGGTTTTCTTGTTGGTGCGTGAGCCACTTTGTGTAGATCTACTGTCATCTCAATAAGCAGCAGGTAGTGGGGTGTAGGGGTAAGACGTTAAGACATCACCCACCCACAAGTCTGGAGAAAGTGCACGCCCTCTCTCTACCCCCAGCGGAAGCAGGTACTGAGGGTCACACACCAGGCAGGATAACGCAGCAGTTAGAGGCGTGGATTTGGACATCAGACAGATCTGAGTGACTTAGCACTGTTAAGCCTCGGTTTCTTTGTGTATAAAATGGAGAGATTAGTACTTCTCAGGATTGTAATGAGGACCCCGTGACCATAATGCATGCAGAGCTTTTGCTGTCCAGGACAGGAGCCACTAGCCGTGTGTGGCTATTTAATTTATTTAATTAATTAAAATTTAGTTTTTCACAGAAGTAGAGCCACGGATGTAGGAAACAAACTTATGGTTACCAGGGGATATGGGGGAGAGGGATAAATTGATAGGCTTGGATTTGACATATATGCACTACTCGATACATAAAATAGATAACTAATAAGAACCTGCTGTATAGCACAGGGAGCTCTACTCAGTACTCTGTAATGGCCTCTATGGGAAAAGAATCTAAAACAAGAGTGGATATATGTATATGTATAACTGATTCAC